GCCACTGAGAAGGGCGTTTGAATGCTAAACGCCTTTCCCAGTGCCAGCCTCCCAAACTCTTCCTCGAAGATACCTTATACCCGAATCGCTTCACCTGTCGTCCTCTTTGACACCCAAACCGAAACACGCTAGAATCAGTTGTGTTCGGATGATCTCAGGTCCAAACTGCATGGTAAGGAGGACTTTCATCAACTTGCGCAAACCGTATCGCAGTATAGTTGGAACGTGTTCAGATACATAGGTAAGGACACACGCCGTAAATTTTGGCACATCGCGCATTGTTCTTATACGATCATTTTACGATGTTGATACGTGGGTAAACATACTCAACGAGTAGCAAAAAAATACTCGTTCACTCGGAAATTTCTGTCTAATTTGAGCTCTTCGGGTGAAACCGTCTCACCAAGGAAGTATTTGTCACCTGCTACTACGATAGTGGCATTCTCCACAGGTGACTACCTTCATCTCTTCGGTGTTGTAGTGCTCTGCATTACTCTGTATAAGAACAAGTCGTGTAAGGGTCTCAGTTGTGGCACACAAATTTTGTAATATAAGATTTGTCTCAAAAATCGAGAACACTTGCTCTCCAGGTACTTGACTACGTTTGTATGCCGATATTTGGATCTCTTCGAGCGCAATCAGCGGGCGTACTTGGTTCTTTTTAAGATAACGTGATACTGGGAGTTGGTGGCTTATGAACAGTTGCGTTTTTTTTTCATACGAAAAATAAATTTTATGAGGTTTGCAGTGACCCGAGACCATGAGCTGCAAATCAGTTTGTGCGCCTGTGCGACAGAGTGGCTCGTTTCTTCGTGGGTTACATCGTTTGTCTTGGTCCAGGGTTGGGCCGTTGTATCTCATATACGGGTTGTCGTCGATCTAGTTGATGAATTAGACTTGAAATTCTCTAGTTCAACTTCTCTACTCGTACACGTTGAGGTTCTCTCAAGGAATCGAATGATACAACCCGCGTTTAGGTATGTGGCGAGTTCAGCTATTATCTGCTACATTTTCAAGGTTTGGCACATCACATGGGAGCGAAGCAAAGACACCTGCAATTTGGTTGTCATCATCTCTTTGGTGGGCACTCCCCGTTTCTTACAATTCTTGATAGTTGGTGTAGTGCGCGATCTTGGCCCTTCTCACCACGAAAGCCTTTGCCATTCTCGAGATCCTCTGGACCTTTTCCCAGTTGTTGGAGGGATTCGCCATGGTACCCATGTTATCCGGAATCGTTTCTCTGGCTCCTCTGCTGTGCTATTCTTGGTTGACTTCAGCCAACTTAGATTAACGGTTTTTATGGTTCCAGGTTCCTCAGTATGTCTTCTCGTATAGGGACAAGGGCAATCATGACCGTGGCGTGAGTACGTACGGGATGTTATATATCTCAGCTCGTATGTGTGAGGTGCTCATTATTCTCCACTCCTGATTTGCTTCTCCACGTTGAGAGCACATGAGGTCCGTGAAAAAGCACTGGAGACTCTTTTCTTGTTCATAGGTACTTTTATACTGTGTGTTGGCGGCTATAGAGTGTTTTACGCCTTCAACTGGATGTACAAGAAGATCAATCTCGGACGGAACTACTCGGACCTCAATTCCTGGCTGGGTGGGCTTATAGAGATACTCTTCTTCATCGACTACATCACGTGAGAGCTCGGTCACACTGGAGGCAGCTCAGTGTCCCTCTAGGTATCGCTTCAAGGGAGTGTCTTGTCTTCGTACGATGGTTTTGGCGGTGGATCAGAAAATTAACGACATTTCAGAGAAGGTGGAGATGAAAGTTATGGGCAGCAGCTCTAGTTATGGTAAGTCAGCAGTAAGAATTGTATTGGATATATACCGTACTTGTATTGTTTCTTTCAATTCTTGCTAATACTATACTTGAACGCAATGTTGTTGTAAGGAAATTGTTCTTGTGAC